TACACACAAAATGTAGATAGTAGGCACATCAAATAGTAAAACTGTTTGTAAGAAATAAAAAAATAGTTAGTTTAATATTATCCAATGTTGACCTCCTGATGTATCACTAAGAACGTTATTATTTATTGAGATTAAAATAAGTTCATTTTTATTATTTTATACTTAAAAGTAAGTTTTCTCAGTAATAAATTCTATAAATAGGTTTTATAAAGGCTGATTTTCTCGTTGAGTAGCTCAGTTCAAAGTTTGTTTATTACAATAACAACTATCCAAATTCAGCATGAATCAGCTTTAATATATATAAATTTACCAACTAACAATAATAGGTGATCCACATGTATTCATGCTGTATCTAGTCAATCCAAATCCAAGATGTTTAAATTGTCAAGTCAAACTTTATATTTTATTGCAATTAAAAATCATCTTTAAACGATGTTAGTCGCACTATGGTAAAAAAACCGCACTTTTTTACCGAATTAAACCTATCATTTTTACATTTCAATCATTGATACTCAATATACCTTTTACAAAATACTATAGAAATATTCTCAATAAATTTAACAACTTAGGCTGCCAAGGGCTTTTTTTGAAAACTTTAATTGCCTGCCAGACTCCATATAACTTGTACATTTTTTTTTTTTTTTTTTTAATATTATCCATTTGATGTACCTATAAGGGAAGTAACTTTTTATAACTATAATATAAAAATGAATGAAAAAAAGTATGAAATAATTATTTGTTTTGATAAAATAAATAAAAATTTATGAGAAATAAAACGCGGTTGAACAGACCGCAATGCGACTAATAACGTAATATACAGTGGTACGACTAACATCGAGTTACAAAAGCCTGAAGCACTGGATACAAAAAAAAATTGTTTTGGTTTAAAAGTACAATCCATTTAACACTTTGACCGCCATGCAGCCGCCAGTGGCCCCACAAGAATATGTATCATTGGTACGCTAAACAAATTTTTCAGTGTCATTACAAATTTGTATATTATACACTATTGAATTGAAAAAAAAAAAATTATACTAAAAATATGTTTATTTAATCAATAAAATTGTAATTATTTCCGCTATGCCATTGCGCATTTTTAGTTCATTATTGTAGAGCTATGGAAAAGTTAATAATATAAATCTAAATTCATATTCGGCAGCCCACGGCCGTATGGCCTCCTACGAATGATATGGTGAGGCAGCTGGAGACCTAGAACTTATTGATACGTAATTAGTTTTATGCGGCCACATAGCAGTCAATGTGTTAAGAAAAATATGGTCAGTGTTACGTTTTTATTTAGATTGTTCAATGACTAATGGGGAATTTATAAAACATTGTGAACTGAGACTTTGTTGAGGTACGTACACTACCTGATTCTTTATTTTATACATGTTTTATACATGCTCACTTCAAAGACTCCAAAACACTTCCCAATAGAATTTTAAAATTATATTTTTGACAATAGTCAATACGTATTGTAATTACCTAATTGCAAATTTAATAAACGTCAAGATAAATTTTTAGTATTTTTAAATATATAGAATTATATGAATCATATTTGAATTACTTTATTGACAGTTAAAGTTTTGATATTATGGATAATACTATTATAATAGTAGGTAAAGGTAACTTAAAAGTAGCTAGGTAAAAAAGTAATTGTTTTAAGTAAGTATTCTCTAAAAAGAATAAGTTCAATCAAATTGTTATGGACTAGTGTCTTGCTATCTAGGTACATTATATTATAATACTAATAATATGAGAATGAACTTAAAATCAAATTACATCCGAGGTAGGCAATTGTTATTACGGTCTAAGTGCTAACACATTTAATATAAAAACATTATGACTGGGTACTAAATGATTGGTTATGGGAGTAGTCAAACATCGGAAAAATCATTTCTAAGAAAGGAGATAATTGCGGGAAGAGACCGGTAGAAAAAGGTTAGTATCAGCATGGAATTACAACGGATAATTAAAGTTGACATGCCGCAAAACAATCAATCATTATAATACAACAGTCTCATTAATGTAATGTTAATATTAGAAAGTATTTTTATCGAATATGCAGCTGCACCTGACGCTCAGGCCATGAATATTTCCTAGAATCTTGTAACGGGCGTCCACCCATGGAAACAACACTCTTATCAAGAGGGCTAGGAAAGGTAGAGGGCCTACATAGGAGAGAACCAACAACCCATACTCAGACTTGATCTAATAAAGCCAGAATAAGCACATTTACGCCAGACATAATTAAGAATTATTATTTTGAACTTGGAAAATAAACAAGTCAAATCGATAATTTTCTAAACACTTAAAAATATTTACTGATCTAAATATTCTAATACATCATAGCATAATAACAGTTTAATATAGGTATGTGTTTATTTTGAACATTTTAAATATACAAATTTAATATACATGCAGTTTAAGCAAATTAATTACAAATTACACCACATCCTATTTCCTATGAACGTACCTGTACGTGGGAGAACACTACAAAATTATTACCCTCCTAAATAATTATTTCTCAAAATCAGTGTCATCCAACTAATAATACCTACAAATATCACCAAAATAATTTTAATTCAACTAGAAATCTACTTGAAACTATGTTGACTTATTTTAACTTAATTGGAACCCAAACATCAAAAATACCTATCACACGTTTAAATTATTATTTAATAAAATAAGAATATTAACACTAGTTAGGAATATGACATATGACCCAAGAGATGATGGCTCTATATAAAATCATGTTCGATCCACATTTTAACCAAACAAGTCAGTGGTCGCGATTTGAGAGCTGTGCTCACATTTATATTTGTTTAAGCACCATTGCAGTTTCTTGCATAATTTTGAAAATTAAAATTAAAATGCGATCAGTTGATTTATATAATAATATAAATTAAATTGAATATTTATACATTTATTGTGGAATCAAGCGACTCAATTATTTGTTATTTTTATTTAGTTGTAGTTATTATTGATATTGAATTGTACCAGTGGCGTAGCCAGAATTTTTTTGGAGAGGGTGAGGGCTGTTCAACTTTTACACTTCTATACATTAAATATGTACTAGCACAGATAGATAGCTGAAAAGTGTTAATACTTATAGGTAAGTTTTTAAATATTTAAAATATAATGCAAGACTTTTTGAACGACTATCATAGACCATAAAAAATAATTTTTTTATTTTCATAAAATTTCGGGGGGGGGGGGCTGCAGCCCCCTCAGCCCCTTCCCTAGCTATGCCACTGATTTGTACATGAAAATGGATAAAAAAAATGTACAGAATACCATGACGAATTAGATAGGTATCATCACAGTATTTTGATACGCATCCTCCGATCTTAACTTCGCCCTTATCGTAGTTCTCCACTTCTTATTGGCTGTCGATCATATACATACATATATAACATAGAACAAAATCAACCAATGGGAAGTGGAGAACTACAATATAGGCCGGAGGTGAATAAGATGCGCATCTACTGCGCAAAACTAGTACAACTGTGATGATACCAATCTGATTTGCCATGCAGAATACCATAAGATGGGTTGAAGAATCAAAAGTTAGATTCTTATCATTATCCAGATAATTTAAGTTATGATCCTGGTTTTGTGTTTAAAACCACGTACAAAGTGTTAAACGATAAATAAGGTATTTAATTGTAAGTATCTACCTATATATATTATCTTAAAACTATGATCCCAGACTCGTTTTAACAGAAAGCATATCAATATTGACAAAAATAAATAACCCATAATGAGCACGACACTCACACGTGACAAACAGTGGTTTAGGTGGCATTGCAACCAATGAAGTGTATAACAATTGTTAGGTTTATAAGTGAAAAACATAAAACATTATTCTAAGAAGTACTTGAGTTGCAATACAAAATTAAACCACCGGTGTTCAATTCAAAATTTTAAATATTTAAAAAAATCACGATAACCACGGTAAAATCTGATCTCCAAAGATTAGTTAACCTTTATAGAGCGATGGTCTTTCTTAGTTCATGCCAGATATACAATATTATACACTTTACTTACCAACTAAGACATCATGCGTTAATGAAATGGGTTTAGATTTCAAATGCGGATTGATTATATATTTTAAACTAACGATCTAAAAAACGCGACGAAATCGGTGACGAGATGAAAAAAGAAAATTGTCCAAAATGACGCGACACCAGTAGTGTTGGGCAGACTACGTTTAGGAGGATTGACACCCGCTGGGCGCGTGTCGACCACAATCTCCCGGAACACAACTACACAAGACAACAACAACAAATAACCCGCAATAAAAAAAAAAATCGTTTTGGTCCGTGGGCACGATAAACATTTCCAAATTCGATCAGTGTCTCGTCAAAACTCGAAAAAAAAATGTTCAACCCCTCCCCTCCCCGCTAAGGAACGTGGCCCCGACACTGTGTGCGACCATCACAATAATAATAATAATAGTAATAATAATAACACTGCTGTGGCAGGCGGGCGGCCGGGGGCCCATCGTCGAGTGGCCAAGGTGGTTCCGTCGGCCACTCGACCACGGGGTAGGAACCATCGGTCCGTCGGGCGAGCGGACCGAGCCGTCGTCCGACGGACCCGACCACCATTTTGTGGTGCCAAGGGAGCGGCGGCGGCTGTGAGCCCGCCGCAACGGCCGAGTCGAAACGCCCGGCCGCCGCCGCCGCAGCCGCCATCAAAAACCCTACACAAAGCTCGGCGTCAACCGACCGATCTGTTACGTACATGTTGTTCCTGGCGGCCGGAGTGTAATCCAACGAACGTTGTTGCTGTACATCGGACACTTTTCGCGCACACACACACACACACACAAAGTCGCAATAATAATATTAATATCGCGTTCTACGCACACACACTCACGCACACACACACACGCACACGGGAGAAACGCCGCCGATGCGTTCACGGCGAAGACGTTTGAGTTTCGGACGATTGGCGTTTCAAAAACCGTACGTACACGACGACGATCACCAACAATGCGGTTATCCGTGCGGGGCGACAACGAAGACGACGACGACGAGCTTTCGCGAGTCCGGGGGTTTATTATCGTGTTAAATCGCGAAACGCTACGGGACTACGGAACAATAACAAGAGCGGCCATTTGCAATGCACATCACTGGCCGTCGCAGTGTGACCAACGTGTCCGAGCGCTAAATATCCCGCCGGTGGCGGTGTGCTACGCCGCCGCCGCCGATGATCCCGTCGGCCGACCGATGTCGGGCGCGCCAAAAATTCACGACGTTCGGGACAGACGGATTCCGTCGCCGGGGAGGCGCTGGTTTGGCCCTCGATCAAGGTTCGGTCTTCCCGGAAAATTTGACCGGACGGGTCGGCGGCGGCCCCGGACCAGTTGGTCGCACTGCACGCGCTGCCGAGTTGATGCAAATCACGAGAATTCGAATAATAAAATATGCCGTTTATGTCGCTACTATCGGTCACCCCGCCACAAGCGCGGAACAATGCAATAAGCGAATAAATTATTATTTCCCGAACGAGTTGTAGTCGAAGGCACGGCGAAAAGACGATTTCTGTGGAGGACCTTCCCGTCGCAGATATCCCGCAAAGTAACGACTTTTAACCCTACGACGGTCTCGTCACCTCCAGCTCCGAACGAGTTGGCGCGCCTGACGTTATCGCTAATACACCCTCCCGAAATATTAGAAAATCACAAAATATAATAATCGTCGATAGATAACGAGTCGACGACTCCAAACCAAAATTCACGATAAACGAACGATTTTCGGATGGTTCTGAATAGTGAAACTTATTGTTTAATGTTTATTCGATTACGAGTCGGGTGAATTCCCGAATTATTAATCTTCCGCCATACAATAAAAATAAACGAACCGCGAAGAAGTTAGTTAGTTTTAATTAGTATGCAATCATTCGTCTTGTCATAGTCGCTCAGTCAATACATATTATTATATTTACTTGGATTTGTAAAATAACGGCCACAATCCGGGGATTTCATTTTTTGAATCAAAAATAAAATTATTTTCAAGTATACGATATGTAAATGGTTTTCTCAATGCTAGGGTACTAAAGTTTGGTTACGCTGTTAGCTTTATAATATTGAAGTATTATGCTTTCAGCGATTCATTTTTGATACATTTTAGCTATGACCCTATGGTTTTTATACATACACAATATGTAAATAGTAGAATACAATCAGTAGCACATAATAATTAATTATATTTTATCAATACAAAAGTGTATTCATTGACTTTTCTGATCAAATAAATTTACATAGAACAACTAGTTAGTTACATTATGACATAGGTTATTTTAATCATCGGCAGGGCAAGATGAGAAAAGTCCTAATTTCCTCATTCTTTCAAAGTCCTTTTCTGCATCATAGTGTCTATAAAAAAAAGATTATAGGTGTTAAATACTATTCACACTAAAGACATATATAAATTACTTGTAAAATTCTGCGTAAGCCTTCTTACGAGGTTCACCGATGCCATATTTGTATGCCACACCAACTCCAATGGATAGTACAACACTAAAGACAAGGTGGAACTTGGTTTTCTTATCATAAAGTCCACGTAATTGTGGTTTTGCTAATTTTTGTACCACAGCTCCGGCCGACATGGTTCTAAAATAGAATTTGATGTAAAGTTAATATTAATATAACAATAATTATAGTGTAGATTATGTATGAACATTATTACCATGTCCTTTATTTGTGAGGTAAAATTAAAATGACCCTATCTACAAGTTTATTCATAAATGCCAGAATATATGATTATTTTAAAGGTGTACTATATTATTATGCAATCTTAAATAATAAAAGTTGATATGGTATATTCTGGTTTCAACAAGTAAAGTGTAAATTTTAGATATATTTTGAGGCGATTTTTTCATAATGTATACTCGGATAATAAAACATCATGAAAACCAGAAAAATGTGCTAACCAAATTTTGGTTTCTGACATGTTTAAGTTACATTATTGTATTAATAATAGTTTAATTATCAGGCATATTATACCTTTATAACACCATACAATGGTCATTCCCAGACAATTTATTTCCAGTTTAAGATCGTATTTTGAACAACTTAAATGAAATACAATTTGTGCGATCTGTTACGCAATACAAAACATCTTTCATAAAAAAGAATAGTTCCTAATTTTCTACCAATCAATAAATTGTAATTTGAATATCCAACAATTGTATTTAAGTTGAACTTTTAGTTAATTTTCAGAAATTGACCTTCACATTATCAACTTAAGTTTACGGACATTTTCCAAAATAATTAACTTTGATGTCTATAAAAATTACTAAATAATATTTACCTGTTTGGTGAATGGATAGCTATCGGAATAGATATTTAACTTTCCGAGTTAGGAAATAACTCACGAGCACAAGACAAATCAAAATTTCAACCGGAGCAGTAGCAAATAATTTCGATAGGTATTAGGTGTTTCAATGTTTGGTAAAAAATTACCTCGATGTATTAAACATCTGTTTTAGCCGTTATCTGCGTTGACTTAAATGTCATGGAAGAATAAAATGTTGGTCACTATCACGGCTATAGATAATAATATACAGCTGCTGGTCTGGATCACGAATTATGCTAGAAATTCGCTAGACTAAACCGGTGTGAAAAATAATGTTAAAATCATAATTCATAAGCAGTCTATTATTTTGATCCTATATTAATTGGTACCTACACTAGAAAATTACCTATTTCCGAACATCAGACACAGTCATGATATAGGCAGTGTCGTAATGAAACTGTTGCCAGTCTTTTAGATGACATCGTATCGCATCGTTTACACTAAATTATACGTTTGTTTTCGAATTTTATCCATTCTGCACCTTATACTTTTACCTTCCTCGTGGAATGTACATTGTCCACTTTAGTAGGGGGGCATCGAACAAATAAGAATGACTGAAGGGGGGTGGAATAATCGATTTTCAAAACTCTGTGGACATATGGAAATTAATTAGAAAAATAAAAATGGAAATTTCAGCAGATGAAGCAAAATTATAGCTTTAGATGCTGTACGAGATTCGAGAACTATTAAAAACTAGGGCGAACTCGGACCTTAAAAAAACGTCTACAAAATGTATGTATACAAATACAAGAGGGTAATATCGGTGTTAGATTTTTTAATAGCCGTAGGTCATAACATAAGAAAGAGGTGTACCTAATTAAAATATTAAATTTTTATAGCATTATTATTGTAATTATAATACTATTTAGGTACTATAATTTATTGTATTTATTATTGCAGGTATTTCATTTTATTATTTTAAACTTGTATTAAATTAAATGTTATTATATTTTAATATGTGATTTAAATAGGTAAGTAAGTAATTAACAATAAATTATACATTTTTTATGATATTATATGATTTTTTTTATCTACTTTTGATGTATTTTTCAATACAGTTTTAACATATTAATTATGCTTAAATTTTCAATTTTTTTTTTTTAACGAGACTATTATTTACTAGTTTGGAACTTTTTACCGAGTTTTTTTTAGTATAAACTTAGGACAACTCACTGCGTACGTGATAAATTAGACCCCCTTCATAATCTATTTTTCAATATTTATGAACTTATATAACCATTAATTATATTTTTAATGATCAAAATATAGTGCATATATTATATATCCTAAAAAGCAGGCGCATCTCAAAATCATTTTACCGCTATGGCGCTATTGCCCATTGGTCATTGGGCTTACATAACTAGTATAACTACTATCCTTTCAAATAAATAATATATACATTTTATCGATGTGCAGGGCCACTCTAAGTGACGACCATTATGGGTTTATTTATCCCAGGCGATAATGGTTTATGGAGTTCTACTCTAATAGGACTAGTACCATTAATTTTACAACTTTTTTGCACTTCAGGACGTGTGGCTTAAATTAGTAAGATAAGTAATAATAATAAGTATCGGATTCTTATTTAAGTCTTTTAGTTGGGTACTGATGTACAACGTACTGTTAATTACTTACCTACTATCTATAAGTGGACGTTTAGAACCACTCAGTATGCGGATATACCCAATAAATAGTTGACAATAGTTACATTGTTCATTTGTCGTACGGTCAAACTAACTTTAGACGCATCTTTAACCAGGATACTAAGAGCTGTTAGGCGTTTTAAAATAAAAATATTGAACTCATGTGTAGGTACCTAGTTGAAATATAATAACTAAAAACAATATGTCAGTTATATATAAAACATTTAAATAGGTAATATATTTATATATAACCATATAAGAACCAAGTAGGTATATTAGTAGGTATGTTTGTATTTAATTGGAAAAAAAAAGTCACAACTCATAATAATAACATTATACATAATACCGTGTTAACCATCAATAAATATTGTTTATAAATTAATCGGTATAAAATACAGTGATCAATGATATTATTGCTTGTATATTAATATAATACATATTACATACATAATATATATATATATCATCGAACACAACATATCATTTGTGTAATATTATGTATAATTAAGTAAACTTATAGGATTTAAAATTTATGGCAATAATGTTTTATGTAAAACACACGATTAATAAAATATCATTACCTACCCATAAGTAACTAACCCTTAAGTACAATAACTAACCCATGATATTAAATGCAGTGGCACCGAACTCACAAAAATATTTTGAAACCAGTAGAATATTATTGGCTCCGGAAACAGTTATAGGTATAATAATATATAATTCCCGGAAATATTATAGATATGCACCTCTTACCTAAATCCGTGTATGTATGGTGTCCTGCATACATTTGCACAATATGATATAATATGTACTTACGTTTTAATATTTTTTATTTAATTTTATTAAACAATAATTTCTATATTATTGAGACTTTTTAAATTAATTATACTATGGTGCTGCGGCCGGCAGACGTTCAATGGATTATGGTATTGCGAATAATGTACAGAATCAATCCAAGTCTATTATGAGGCGCAGCGGTTACCAGGTAGTAAACGTTTTTAATACGATCGGTGGCGTTAGTAATGAAACTGGTTGCCGTCGAACGGTCCGGACTGCTGTTGTTCGTACTGCGGTTCGGCGTTGTTGGTGGCTGCGGCGGTGGCGGCAGCAGGAGCGGCAGGGACAGCTGCGGCGTCCCGTTGCTGGAGAAATGGGGCGTCCCGTTGCTGAAAATATGGAGCGGCTGCGGTGTCTCGTTGCTGGAGAAACGGCGGCGGTCTGTTGTACGCATGGGCTCTGAAGTGCGGCGACGAGTAGTACGGCGGTAAACCTCCGGCGGCGGCGGGCTGTCTGAAAAACTGCGACTGATCAGCTGCTTGAGGCGGATACAACGGTGAGCGGTACGCGTCCACGACGGTCGCCTGTTGTTCGTAAAGCGGTTGCTGTGGGGCGGGATAGTACGGCGGCGGCGCTGTGACGTACTGTGGTCCGGCGGGGTAGTAGGGGGCGTAGTTGTACGGTGGCGGCGGTGCACCGTCCACGGCGTATTGTGGTTCGTACGGGTACTGCAGCGGCCGGTACGGGTTTCCGCTCGGCACTAGCACAGGGCCGCCCGGCTGAAGATAAGGGCCGACTGCAGGTTGGTAAGGGCCCAATGGTTGGTAAGGGTACGGGTACGGGTATGGATATCCGGGAGAGGCCACTCCGCCTATGGGCACGTAGTCCTGTGCGTCCGAATAGTTGTCCGGTTTGTCCTTTCGTGTGCCCGTCGGCGAGCCTGCGGTGGTACAAGGTTCTTAAAATAATGGAAAATAACGAGATTTGAATGATTTTTGAATGGTTAACTTTTTAAGTAAAATAAATAATGATTAAAACATAATCTTGCACAGGTGCACACCGATTTATTTGTTTGGTTTTATGTACTTGCAAAACTACAATGACTTATTTTGTACTTAATAATTAATATAATATCAATATTATGGACTACGAGTCATTTTCGGTTAAGTATGAAGCCTAGAATTTTCTTTTATACTAATAGGCAATAGGCTACAAGTAAATTTGAATAATGACAAAATGTGTCACTAATTCTAACTACCTAGTTAATAGTTATAATGATTTGATAGTTTAGTGCCTGCCTACTATCAGCTGTGTGTTTCAATGTTTGGAACAATATTTATAAATATAATATCGTAACTTTTGATTATCGTGCCAATTGATTGTGACTGGCCGCTGAAGTATTTGCTGGGAAATTAAGTTAGATGATAAAATGTATATAATATAAAATATATAGTCATTATGGAATTTGGCAAAACAAAGTTAATAAAATATATGTAATTAAGCTATAAGTCTACTTCGGAGGGTAGCTGAAGAAGGAATCGTGACTGGCAGTCAATATTTATAAGTATTTAATTGAAGTGTTAGAGGTGTTTTTTGTGCGACTTAAAGCTGATAAATACTTTTTAATTAATTTCAAGGGGTTCGATACCATGATTTTCTGTCTTTGGCCGGGGCTATATAATTAATGGAGTATTCCGCAGTGTTCCGTCGAATTAAAAATGCATTGGTTTACATCGGAGCATTCGGAGAAGCTATAGGTACACGACGGACGCAATACGCCGAGTTTTCATCGTTTTCAATCTTAAGACAATAATAATTTATCAATCAAATATTGAATAAAGCTATATTAAATGTTAGCATTATATTTTAATATTAAATAAACCACAAAAAAGTATTTTTTTATACTAGTAGTGAATCGAGTATCTACTGAATTAGATAAAAATTAATAAATACAATTTTTTATTTTATTAATTTGCAATTAATTGTGCTAAATATCTATTTAGACACCTACACTTAATAAATCAGGTAGGTAGTGTTTTTACTATTTAGTATATTATATAATGTATTATGTATAAAATATTAAAATTTAAAATACTAATACAGTAATACAGTAATACGATAAATTAAAATAGCCTATATTAAAGTAGGTACCTATAGTTTAATGTTTAATAAATTATTATAATTTATAATAATAGCCAATAACCTATGCTAGATAGTAGATACCTATTGAAGCATGATGTATATAGAATATACAATATATATAGTATATTATAGCAATTAATAATGTGGTATAGATGTCATGTGTTTATACAATTAAACATTTATACATACCTAATATATTTATTATAAATAGTTAGGTAAATCAAAAGTTGGCCATAAATTCATATGATAATTAAAAATGATTAATTTATAAATCATAATGATAAATTTGCTCCATTATTAAAAATAAAAATGTATTTATATTTGAAAGACTTACTTTCCGTGGCAGTGTGTTTGTTGTACTTCCTGACATTGGGCTGTACTTGCAATGTCTGACCAGATTGGGTACTGGATACTCCTTGTTGCGTCCCACTGCAAAGGATGCCGGATACGATCACCAACAGAATTGAAAATACCTAAAGGCAATAAAAGTATTTTGGTTAATTGTATTGTAGAAACTCGCTTATATCTATGTTAACAATTGAATTATACTCATTAAGCAGTATCTACAGTGTATAGAATTGAAGATAAAATATAATATTTTAATATTATAATTATTATCATGAATACTGTAATCGGTAATTAAAAATATAGACACTTAGGTATAAATGTATAATCTTCTACAATTTACACTCAAAACGTGTATTAGACGCGTGGAATATATAATGGACCGACTTACTTGGATCATCATCGTATATAATGACTGCAGTTGTTGTGTAGTGTATATTTTCGAGCTTCTAAATGAATACTGACTGGGAATGCAAATTGTACAGTGACTTTTATAGGAGGTTCGCGAAGACCCAGTATATCCTTCAAAGTGTGTACAACGGTTTTTTTTTATCGTTATGTATCATTAGACAATGAACTTGGCGTACCAATCAACCTCCAACAATGGTGTGAACCAGTCATCATCATCACATTCGAGACGGTTGTTGAACTTGAGTAGGAGGACGCGTGAACATTGCAATATTCGATGCGTATAAGGGTTCAAGATGTACCTATATAATATTATGATTTATGATTAATGACGCTTTTGTGAATTTGGTTCATTTGGATTTAAAATCTAATTTAAGAATCAACTGTCGGCACAAAAGAATTGTCCGTGATGACTGATGACTTGTCAATAATTGGCGTGTATATTAAATTAACATTTTAGTTGCATTTTTTGTTTGCATGTAGGTAGGTATGCAAATTAATATAACTCAACATAAAAATAACAACTTTATGAAGATTACTATAAGAACTATAATTGAATTAATATTAAATGATATTTAAGTTTTCCTTTGTGAATTGTGATTGACTCATTTATATTGTATAAAGACGATGTTCGAATGTTATATACAATACATGTCTTGTGATAGAATAATATTTTTAAATAATAAATGCAGCAATGGGATGAAATAATTCCCAAATTGGATATTTAATTAACTCTTCTTTAGAGTTTGAACCAAAATATATTTAGAATAAAGTTGTTTTAATAATTTTAATAATATTACGTCATATTATTTCTTATACGCCTATAATGCTATATATATATATATATATTATATTTTATTACTTTATTTTAAATAATATGTGCAATCTGCAAATTTAATATTTACAATTAGCATAATATGTACAATTTTAATGCATTTATCACACGTAAGACGACTTGCAATAGTATTATACGAGTAATGAGTACCTACATAAAAAAAGGGGTTAAGTATAAACTGACAAAATTTACCATTTCCGGAAAAAAAGCATTCACCCTGCAACCTAATGGTTTATTTCTTATAAACAATGTATATACTACATACCTATAATTTTTTTTTATATATAAATATTACCTAATCCCTATATCGTCTCAAAAGTAAATGGTGCAGCAACTTTGAATAGTATATATAAGACATAATATAAATATATTAGTATATGACACAAAATTATGAAATAAATAATTTTAGAGCTTTTCTTAATATCTTACTTTTATTATATAACTTATTATATACCTACCTAAGTTATATAATTCATAACGTCATGATAATATTACGATTTTTCTACCAATATTTAGTAGGTATACCTTATTACTTACAACCTACCTTTAACCACTAGTAAAATAATGGTAGTATAGGTATACAATATTCAGTGTTGGGTAGTAACGTAACGAAAGTAACGCGTTACTGTAACAGTGTAACGGCGTTACTTTGCTTCTAACGCGTTACGTAATTTCATTAGAAATATTTCAATGTAACGAAAATGTAATGGAAATTACTTTTGAAAAGTAATTTCTATAAAATAACGCGTTACAGTTTCGAATTATTAAATACTTACCTACCTATTGCGAATTGAAAAAAATATATATACTTATAAAGCTTTTATTATTATGTTCACTAATCTAATATGTATCTATATTTAATCTTAACTCGCCACAATTCATTTTTTAATGATTTTGACATTTGAAATGTCCAATTGCACCTAAATCACGAGAACAGTTAATTACATTTATTATTTAATTTGTTCCTTTTAAAAAGGTTTTATACAATCCTATTAACTATATACCTACAGGTTTTATAAAGAATTTGCTTGTTCAATTTGCCTACAGAAGATAATTGCCAAGAAATTAAAATTTTTTTTTTTAACGAGAAAGTAATGAGTTACTTTTCTATTTGAAAAGTAAAGTAATTTCATAACAATTTTATTTGAATAACGAGTAAAGTAATTTAATTACTTTTAAAAAGTAACTTACCCAACGCTGACAATATTATATATTTATTATTTATATGTTACATTGTTACACACGTGACACATCAACACTTTTACACTTTGCAGGACACCTATAGGCTGTCATAAATTAATAAATTTGTATTCTTAAAAAAACTAATATGTTGAAGATTTTAAATAAATTATGTATATGATACTTTTGTATAAAGATTGAGAAAATAAAAATGTTGATCAACAAATCAGAAAACAGAATCCTCGATGATCAAAATCTAAATAATTTTACCGTAGACATAATTTCTTATACCATCCAACTTTTACCATTTTAAACTGGGTAAAAATGTAAAATAGTAAATATATTTTAATGTTATATGTTGTAGATATTTAATAATACATTGACGAATTATATTATAAGCTTCAATTTGTAATTCAATGTATAAATTCAATTGCAAATTATACGTAGGTACTCACAGTTCTGAGTTCACACATTATTTCCATCAAGCTGAGTTCGTCTACGTATGGAGGCATTTTGTAATTATGTGGTTGACTGAGAGTTCAGTTCTACAAGAATTTTATCATTTTTAATATCTGTTTAAAACTTTAAACTATGCCTATTATAAGTTATAACCTATTATAATCTCTATGACTTTATCTATAAGACTTATATTGTGTCTATATTATAATCTATATGAATATATGACTCGGGGCCGGATCTATGGTGGGGATGCCGGGGATGCCGGGGATTTAACCAAAGGGGGTAAAATTATCTCAATTAGTAAGCGCGTAAATTGTGTTTTTATTTCATTACATGCTATATTGAAGAATAATTAAATCCATATTATATAAAAAAAAGTATAGTACAGTGACATCTACTGTTATAAGGTGTCCATTGTCCCCTCTTCCGAATTTATTTTGAAATACAATGAAACTTCCATATAAGGAAACTTCCATTTAACAAAATGTTCTGTTTAATGGAATATTCAATTCTATTTAACAAAATTCTCTTTAAGTAATACTAATTTGTTTTATGCTCCATGAGACTTCGTAATAATATAGTAGTTTCGCTGTATTTTTTGTCATTTAACTGTCCGTGGAAGCGAGGACTGAGACTTTTCTTTACTACCAAATTATAGACAACTTAAATATAGGTACCTATTTAGTTAACTAGTAGTTTTTCGTTGTTGCGTTTATAATAATACGTCGAATAAGAAGTAACACTGAATACAATAAGTGGTGTTTTGGAGAGTATACGGAAGTATACCGTATACGCCTTATACCCATTATTTATTATTCAGTGAATTAGCTTACAGTAGCGCCTAAACAGATTAGCAAGTACTGCAACTCCATGTGCTCTCGATGTGGGTGTGTTAAATTACTGGTGTCATAGAGAAGTTTATAAATTTATAATATAATCTATAGTCAGTAATAATTTATTTCCGTGTAAACTACAGTGATTAATAAGTGAGTGAGTTACTGATATATTTAAATATTAAATAAAAACAAAATGTGTATCTAAGGATACGTTTAAAATAAAATAAAATGGGTGGCTGGCTTTTTTTAACAGCATATTCTCACAAAATACAATTGTGTGCCACTGAGCGTGTAGGTACCCTGAAAAATTGTATTTAAGTACAAATACTCATAAGATATATAAGATATATAAGGTATATAAGATCGTCGGTTCGAATCCCTTCATTTTTTTTTTTAAATTAAACAATCCCCTTATTCTGTATTGTTATCTATTCACTATTGTCATACGACATTAATTATCAACCATCAAATAATTGATAAATACTGGTTATTACGTATAGGTCAACCTATGGTATAGAACTAGGTATATAGTCTATAGTTAATCATCGTTCGAGACCGATGACCGTGATGATTATTGCAGTTATTTTGATAAAAATATACTCGAGTTGCCTCTACCACAGAGTAGGTACCTACCTGGTACCTATGTAATAAGAATTGTCAAGATAATTATCCAGTTAAATGTTATAAAATGTTAAACCTGACCTATGAAATAGTATCTAATAGTTGTCAATACTTAGGTAAATAAATAAAAATTGCCAAAAGTAGTCATTATTGATCACCCAAAGGTATTAAATAATTCACTTTTGGGGATTTCCACTTCACTTGGAAAAAGGACGCTTTCCACCGCTTCAACCGCTATCGAAATCCAAACTTTTGGTGAAGGCGTGATAAAAAATATGTTACTGAAAATGGGGCGCTTTCGATTATTTCCTCAAGTGTATAAATCCCTAGATCTAGTCCTGACATGACTCTATATACTTCTAATTTATGCAATTTTGATTTAACTATTTTGCGTTTGTTGACTTTAACTTTATGCTTGGTTAGGGGTACTGACCGACTAGAACTTGACAGTTGACATTGATGTGCACAGATTATGACTACAGGTGGGGTCATCAGAATACCTGAGTTGTCTTATTTGCAGTTATCCATTGACTGCTAATCGTTCATCTCTCTGCCCATTGTAATATTATGGGCAATAGGTCGTGGTTGATGTAACAATGGGTTATTGGATATTCTAATCTCGTGAATAGATCAATACAACAACTACATGCAGGCACACATAAATATTCGTTCTATTATACTTATATACGTCAATACATACGTCAAACGGATGTTGTCGAATCATGCACATTTTTTTTTTTTAATAACTATTATTGATACATTTATTGTACAACTACTTTTTATTTTTCATGCACCATAGTAAATTTAAATTTTAAAATAATATTTTGTGCTGAAAATGTTTAAAAGGTAGATGGACATATCGATCGTTCAGTCATTGTGTATATAAATAGATGATTGCTAATAGATAAAAGATAAAAATAGATTGTATTATAAATAAAATAAAATAAAATACATAATATATTTGGGTTCTTCATTTTATATCTATTATATTAAATTATAGGTGCAGACAATATTGGAATATAAAACTAAAAATATTAACAGAAATCCAGATGCCATAAACAATAAAATAATATCTTTGCTTTCTTAACATAAATATGGTTTCAAACCTTCAAATGTAGATTAATAATATTTAGCTCAAACCTGCGCTATATTATTTTATTAGTTAATTAGTTATTACATTTTTGGCCAGACTATTCTTTCAATCCATGAAATATAATTCGATACTCGGGTATAAACAGCAGGGGAATCTTTTTCTCCACAAAATTGTCCTGCAAATGATGTTATTCCTATTTGTGAATACATACACGTGTACCTATTGTGTTTTATTTGAATTGGACCACCTGAATCGCCCTATAAGATTGTAAAAATAAATTATAATTAAAGAAATGTTTATGATACGGAAACATAAATATTTGTATAGAAATACAAATTACTTACTCCACAAGTGTCATTTCCACCTTCTGGATTGCCAGCACACACCATTAAGCTATCAACTATTCCTTGTGCTAATTTTTCATTTCTGTTTGATAGGTATAAGAAACTTTTATCGCACTCTTCCGCCGAAATAGTGTTTATCCGTACTTTCAATAAATATGAGCTTTGAAATGAAGCTAAATATTTTTATTATATTTATTAATTACAAATTACATTATGGGTATAAGGTACCATATTATATTATATTGAATATTATAATATTATAAACTATAACTTACCTACGTCAGTCTTTCCCCAACCAGTGGCTATTATTGCTGGAGGTGTGAACGTATTATCTGTATTTAGACAAATAGGTCGTACAAATGCCGAGAAATCTACATCCCTTTCTAAACGAAACAGTGCAATATCATGGTACGAAGAAGTTGATTTGTAATTTGGATGTACTATGCGTTGTACTATTCTATAGTCTTTAGGTCTGGCTTCGTCAGTTTCCGAGAGATAGTCTAATTCACCTAAGCGAGCCCAACTTGCAAATCTCCTGAAAATGTAGTTATTTCTATTACAATTTATTCAGTAAACATAATGTATTAATGTATAATATATTATGTAACTAAGTAAGTATTGTAACTTGTAAGTATACGTACGGTTCATTTTTACTTCCCAATTTTTCACAGTGGGCCGCTGTTAATACAAATCTCTTACTTATCAGCGATCCTCCACATGCCCATGAAGTTGGGTCTGGTTTTTCACTATAACCCAACAATGCCTATATAATTAAAAAAAATATTAATACAATAACAGTAGTTATATCTTATATTTCATATTGTCACCATGTGAGGAAATTCCTTTGGTTTAGCATCTGTACCGTTGGTAATTAAAGTAATGGCATCGTAGCAGTCTTTAACTTTTAGGTAATTTTCCTGATCTGGTATTAATACTGGGTCCTTTATTGTATGATAAATTAATTCTGAGTACTCACTGCACACTTTTTGTGTGAGATAAAAATAAATAAGAATAATTATTAAATAAAATATTAAAATTCTTATAATATTTTGAGGCAATCTGCCTATACATACTTTCCGTGGCAGAATATGATTTCAAAACTGGATTTGTGCTTGGTTTTTTCGTTGTGGTAGTAATTTGATTATTGGTATTTTTTTCTGGTGGACAACAAACTATTGGAGTTGATCCGTTGAATGAGCATAGTTGAGGTATAATGTTTTTTTTAAGTCCTTCCTTTGCAACCGGACACCTTTCAATATTCCGACAAATGGAGTTGGCGGTTTTCCCATCGCCTTTCCGGCAAATTTCGTCTATACACGAATAATATAATATAAATAGGTTCATATTTCAGTTAATTTTGATAGTCGATTTATGTAGGATTGTCATTTGTTAATATCTAATGTAAAATGACGAAATTACAATTTTGAACATTAGATGTCAAAAATAAAAATAATAAAAAAAAATATACATTTTTCACGGGCCACAATTTGAAAATAGGTAAATTACTTTATTTTAAACAAAAATGTATAGTCAAATCAAATTTAGATATATTATATATTTAACAGGTTAAAATATAATTAATATGTCAAAATTATATAAAAATATTCTAAACAAAAGTTGATTTTTAAATTTGAATAACAATTAACCTGCAATCTATTGTACAGCAATACAGCATTTAAGTGAGCAACTTGAAAAATATTTGATTTTTTGATATTTCATTAGTGAAAAAGTTAGCTCATAACTATTTGCGTGCTTTCAAACACGATATATATAATATTTCAGCAAAAGGTTTGATTTTGCTAAATTTTGTTTCACAGAGACTCGAATAAAACTGAATTAAGTACTGGACATAACGAAAGTCAGTTTAAGACTTTCCTCACTTTGTCACTAAATAATTTCTGTATCAACATCTTTAGGTACACATCATCAATATCAACTATAAACGGGTTCTATAGTAATTTAATTTTTAAGTTAATCGAATAAAAATTAGAAAATCTGGTTGAAAACTAATTTTATAACTTTTCAATGATATTCAAAAATTTTAATTTTTCTTTTTCCCTATAACAATTACTGCAATTCTTATCAACAAATGTGCATTTTATCCACAAGTTTTAATGTTTCCAGTTTATACTTTCATTGCTATCTTAGTTCGTGGTTTTTATACATGACGTCTATTTTTAAACAAATTTTAAATTTTATTCGAGGGCCACAAAAAATGATATTAGACCCTCTGGTCAAGACTCAAGATGATCAACAAACATCACGGCCCGCGGGAATATTTGACAAATTGTTTATACAATTACATTATATTATTTTTATACTTTTACATAAAATAAAAGCTTATAAATTTACATTAATTTGGATGTAAAAAACATATCAATATAAATTTAAAAAAAAATTTAAAATACAATTAACGTAATATGCCTATATATTATAATAGTTAATTGGTTAATATTTCCACTTGTCACCACATTTCTTTAACATATTCGTTTATAGCGATTAGATCGAGTTAAGTACCCTTAAAATAAATGAAAATATAATACAAAAATTAGGTCAATCGTACGGGCCATGGTAAATAATAAGTGTATTATATATTTATATATTTTCCAATGATTTTCCAAAACTCAGAAGTACAATCTGTGTTTATTTACATTTTATAAACATAATGTTTTATACTATACATATTATACAACTCTTATACTCCAAAAAGAAAATAAACATTGTTATATGACCAACACCACACTCCGCCTCCATCCATGATTGTTTCCGTTTAGTGGCAACAATTTAGGAATTTGGACTATAATAAAAATAACATAACATACCTTCATATAATCCTAGTATTTGTGCATTGTATCCTAAATTCACAAAACATAATAAAAACACTGTTAAAAAACATTGTAAGTTTGTATAGCCTATCATTATTAATAAAAATAGCTTAAATATTTTATTCAAACTAAGAGTTAATTGATAATTTGGTTTACAGAAAACCACTAGGTAGGTACTTACAGAGTACAGACCTACAATTTGCTGAAGATTTTAAATTAGTTCATTATACAGTAGGTATACACAAAAACACTACCTATGTAAACCCCACTTCTCTATACTGGTTCTTGACCATGGAAAGCAATATTATAACTTATTCCTAACTTAAGAATATTTATATTGAGTAATCGAGGTCACATATTCACATATTATAACAACAAATTAATAATCAGTGGGTGGAAAAATTACGTTAATATGCTTATCAACTGGTTTATTTGTGTAAGTACATTTTAAACTGTTCTTGAGAAACGAATAATGATATCCGTTATTTCTGTTTATCATTCTTTCTCATCGTCTTTATGTCCAAAATAAAACTTGGATTATTTTTGAGAACCATTTATCAACTTATTAGCATTACTTAGAAGTTAGAAGACCTTGTTTAAATATTTGTAATTTTGTAATTATAATTTATCAACAACATGAATTACTACGAAAACTGCGTCATAACAACCATGTTCATCGTCATAACTTATAAGTTAAAATGTTAAATTATAACAATCTAAACCTAATAGGTAGATCAAATTATTGGTATAATGTAAAATATTGAAAACTGTCAACTATAATAGATGTCTGTTAACTATTTAACCACTCGGTAGTAACATATGTAAAGTAACAACTAACATTATCATGTCTTTCACTTTCAACAAGCTTCGCATAAAAGAAGAAAAAGAAAAAAATTGTGACCAAAACAGTTGTACAAAAGTAAACAATATTAAACACAAAACTCTTAATGTATTTTTAATTTGATTGTTAATCATTGCAGATAATTTATTCATGAAATAGATCTATAACTCATAAGATAAAAGATAATTTGGAAATGGTTCTTAATTAAAACATACTTAAATGTATATTAAGATCAGGGACTGGAACCTTTATTATGATTTTATCGGTTTGGGTTTAGGTTTCCTGTTTTCCCAGTTCTCAAAAATCCAAAAGTTCGGTTCCGGTTCTGGTTTCGATTTTCAAAAATATCAAATTTCCTTCTATGATATTTAAAGCTACAGTCGATGATGTAGGTGAATATTGTTCACCAGTTAAACCCCCCCCCCCCCGAGTTTCATTAAGCCACTGACACTGTAGGTATCAATAATATATCATTAACTATCTATGATGACACAATAAAATAAAATAATTTATAATTATAAATTATAACTAATAACACAATATTATATTATTATGTAATATGTATACCTAAATGTGTTCATACCCAAAATTATGAAGAAATACCCTTTAAAGAGTGGGTCTAACTTTTTATTTTTTTAAATTATAGGCAGTTAAATTTTTTTTATCAAAACAAAACCTATCACACATTTTTTTATGTATCTTCAAAACTATTCAACATTTTGAAGTAATTTTTTTTATCTCAAAGCTATTTAAGTGTTCTATCAACCAACTTCGCAATTAAACCAGAAATGTGCAAATTATTTTTATTAATTGGAAAAAGTAATTATTTTTATGAAAAATTAATATTTTTAAAAGTAAATAGCTTATAACTCCGAAAAATATAGTATTTACTATGGGTTTTTTCCTTATTGTATTATTCTGTAAAATATGACAACACTACAACTATGTACCGAATAAAATAAAATCAAACGATTAACGACCGATACTCGATTCTAAGAAAATCAAGATTTTAACGAGTCGTTAATAACGACAGTGTATAATTCTGCAATCATGGAAGATACTAAAACCAAACTTTTAATTTATTCTAGGTATTATTCAGTACAATAATACAATAAGCAAAATACCCACAGTAAATTCTAAATTTTTTGTAGTTATACGCGATTTACTTTTAAAAATAATTACTTTTTACAACTGATAATTGACCCGTCCTTGTCTTTGCCGGGCCAATGTGTGTATATAGGAATCTATATGACATGGGGAAATATGTTTATTTTGGTTAGGTAACTGAAAATGATAGTGATGATACAGAAGAAGATAATAATACAGTGGATGCCAAAAATTATGGAACGTGGGTTTTCGGCCTTTGTTGCAAAAAAAAAATGATATTTTGGAACGACATTTATTCATCGTAGAAAAACGTGACAAAGCAACATAACTTCCTAATTCCTATAATTAAAAGATCTAGGAAGTATAATCCATAGCAGGGCCGTCCCGTGCCCCGGGCCCCGCACCTTGGACCTCTTGTTTGGGCCCCGCACTTACACACACGAAAAATCCAAAGTTTTCTTTAAGTACAACGAATGGTGGAATGTTTAGAGACTTAATATAGTTAATCAAGGACGTACCACGTACGCAGGTACGCTTAGTATATAATGAGTCGAATAATAAGTGAGATTATATTACTTATTATACATAATTTGAGATATTATCAATTATATGACATCAAGAATTCACGAATACACCATAGTAAGAGCGAATAGTCATTTTCTAGTGTAGGTACTAAACAAAGTTATCAAGCCGCTTACATAGTATGGTAATGGGGAATATTTTTCCTATTTCTAAAATTAGAATTAGTACACAATAATATACGTGTTTTATTATCTGATTAGGTACTTCCGCTGCTGCCCACTATTATAGTGAACAACTAATTAGGTACTAAATTTTTTAATATGATATTATCTTGAATGTAATAAACATATATCAACAGTTTATCTATAGATATCTATTTTAATATAATATTAAACATAACTTTTTCTCATTATTCACACAATTTATGTCATATTCTCATTCTCTAATTAGTAATTACCACAATGAATGCAAATTTAAACAATATTTATAATAAGAGGAATTAGACATTAGTTATTAAGCTTACTAAAATAATATACAAAATAAATTGTTTTAATAATTTAAAATTTTATAACTTGTCAGTTTTATTCACTTTTTGTGTAAATATTGCATTAGGTACAAGCACAAGACACCAGTAATTATTCATTTGACTTGGAAAATCCAGCAAATTGACCATCAGTTATAGATAGGCAGTAGGTATCGTTTGTCTATTATAAAAAGGGGTCACTTCAAATCAAACATTTTTAATTTCCAATAAATGATGAAATGAACAAAGATCATTCTCTGAAAAATATTATTACAAGACCATGTCAAATGGTAAAAAGGTAATAAGACCTTATATTCAACAAAAATGAATGTTGTATTTTGTTACAATACGTGGTTTATTACCAACTGACCAAACAATAGTCAAAAACGTGATTCGGAAGGAAGTATTTTGAAAACAATGTATAATCAATGTACAAAAAAAGGGTGCCAAACATTGTATTGGGTATTATTCTAATAAAGTTAACACAAGCCGAGGTGTTTACGAAAAGATCAAAATCAACTACAGTCGACTGGTACAATTTATGTCAAGACGTAGCAATAGCTGAATTTCAAAACCGTAAGCAAATGGAGGTCCTGCAGGCCTAGTTGTATAAATAGATGAATCCTTGTTCTAAGATAAAAGGAAATATAATCGTGAAAGATTACATCTTGGAGATTGCAAACCTGAGAAAAAGTCATAGTCAAACATGTTTTACTAAACATAGTCAAACATGGGGGAGAGGAAGGCGAATCTCCGACGGTTTACTTTTAAGGAAAATGTATTAAGATTTTAGTGCCTTCAACCCCCTTCCACCTGGGGGTCTTTTTCCCAATAACTCTTCCACATTCCACTATGTTTTTTGGATCCAGAAATGTCGTAGCTTAACTATTAGTTTCTTATATTAATATATATAATATTAGAATATTAAAAAAGTGTTTGTAATAAATTGGTTGTCATATGATATACCTATCACGTTTCACGATAGATATTATAATAATATTAGGTATGTAGGTATATTAGGTATACGTATATCTTGCGCATATCTTAAATCATGGTATCTATTCAGTAGCTAACTACTGAAGTGGCTAAGTATTGTATTATTGTAATCAAATCCGAAATAGACATTTACTTGGTTCTTACAATTGTTTTTAAATGGCAATTTTATATAGTAATACATTTTGGACAAAAAAAAGGAACTAACGTCAATGCACCAATCGCCCTCCTGTAAATAATACAATATATTATAATGGTATTATTGGTATTATATTATTATATTAACACAATAATAGGTAAGTTGCTTTTTTAATATTAAGCACTCATGATGACTCATTAACTCGGAAATTGTGATGATCAAGGGTGGACCATTAGAATAATATTATTTCTATATAGTATAATATATTAATATACCTACATCACTTATCACTGTATCTGTATTAGTTAATTGCTATGTCTCTGTATTGGTTCATTGCTACGTTTATCAACAGCGACTTCAACACGAATTCAAACACCAGTATTATTATTATATTGCTTTCAAGTTTCAAGTGTTCAAGTAGGAATTTTCGTCATAAACTATGTCGGCCGAATGCCGACAGCGACTTGTACGTTATGGTAGGCTCAATATTTGTTATCTCTCTCACTTCTCAGACTCACGGGCAGTATGAACATTAAATTTTTTTTATCTAAATTCGCTTTAATAATTGTTGAGTTATCTCAGAGTACAACAAATTATTACAAAAATTATAGAAAATGATATTTTTAAGGGTTTGACACATAGACGTATACCATATTATACGTCTATCATGCATATGTCATGGTTTAATTTTATATTTCATTATTATTTGACATTGTGTCAGGCTTTCCAAGTATTAAATAAAAACAATTTTTTGTAAATTTAAACGATTCTCTATTATTTTTGTGGTGGGTGATTTTCCAATTTTCACTCTAAGATTACCGTGGGTCAGAGAGAGAAAACAAACAGTGCGCTAAAATATTAATATCGATTGCGCCTTACGAACGTCGTGCATCTCCGCCGATCTACGGGATTGGGGTTAGGTTAGGTGTACGCAAACGTTATTATCATTTATTACAAATATTTATAATG